TGATTGTTCATCTCGTGCAACATTTAGGACGTCTCGGAAAGACGACTGGATTAGTCTCTAGGTATCATCCCTTTTCTTGGACTGCTTCTAGTTCTATCTGTCACAGCAAATTGCTTTGTGTAAAAAAAACAATCGAACATGGACATTTTTTGTTGCGGAGTTCGCTAGGTCCGCAAAGTGGGAAGTCAAGCAATTTCTCCCTGTCAATCGAGGCATCTCTGGGGCGTGGGGCGATCGAGCAGCTGCGCCCAATGTAAATCGCGACAACTTCACACAGGTTGTAGCTTCAAGAACTTCTAAAACAGAATTCAGGGATTTGAGGCTATGTCAACTGGCTATGAGCCGCACTCTTCTATCATGACTGTCTTCACACAGTCAAACAAGTTAGCGGTGCCGTTTCGCGCATATCTAATGCTCGCCTGGTCTTTGGGATGCTCCTAGGGAACTCCCTTCCGTAATGATTCCTACCGGTGTGTGATACCTTAAACATCAACTCTGAGACTAGTTATAAAAAACTATGAACCAATATGAAAACCGTGCTTTTACAGCGCAGGAACGTTGCCTATCCATAATATTATCCATAATTTTACAACTACTGTAGCAGTAATCAGCCTCGACGACAAAGAGCGGGAAAACATCCATAACACTAATAGTAGCTGTCTAAAAGTCCTAGGCACAGTAACCACACTTTCTGAGCCAACACAGGGCGCGCTCGGGCGTGATGGTGCTCAGCGAGTCAAGCAGCGCGTCCATAGAATCTTCCAGGTCGTCCGCGCTTGCAGACTGCTCGTCCAGGGGAGGATGCCCGTTTAGCATGCAGTAGCCGTCAGCAGCAGCCGAAGGCCCACGGGACATTAGTGAGAAAGAACGCTGAATCAGCGCGCCGGCACACTCGAGGGGATTGAGGCCAGGGGTGCAGGGAGGGCGCTGAAGGACGATAATGCCACTGTCCGTTATTAGGAAAAGCATGAGTATCGTGTAAAGACAGAAAGGAATACACGAACCGCGCATGCGCCTCGCGCTCGCTATCCTTCATCGCGTCGATTAAGCGCGAGCGCGTCGAGTCGAGCACGAGCACGGAGTGCGGTGCGGGGAAGGGGCGCATGGCATCGAGCAGACGCGTGACAAACGTAGATGCCGCCCCTGCGCCCGTAGAGACGGAGACATCCAGGATCCCGGCGTGCGAGAGTGCGAGGAGAACCGGTTCTCGTCTGAAAGAGAGCAAGCTTCTGCGTAAGTGCGGAGCTGAATAGAAAAGAGGATATGAAGGAACCTTTGTGAGACAGCCCATTCGCCCCAGCTAGGGTTGTCGGCGGGTTCGAATTCTGAAGAAGGGGCCCGGGCCAGCAGGGGGCTGTTCCTGCAGGATATCTCGCCTACGAAAACAAGTGTACGCACGTCGGGCGCACGCGCCTGCGCAAGGAACTGCGTGCAACGTTCCTGGTTGAGCTCCTCGAACGTCTGCTCGTAGCGTTTGTCAAGTTTTCCCGTCCGTATCGTGTCCAGAGGGACTAACCTTTCGCGGTGCCGCCTCCGCCTCGTCTTCGTCGCGCGCTTCCTCCTGCGGCGGAGTCGTCTCCAGTGTGTTGCTTATCAGGCCTAGCTTGCGCAGGGTACGGTAGATCGTCGTCGTGGAAATTTCGACGTCAAATTCGTCGCGGAGCGCGTTGCGCAAATCGCTCAGCGGCATGTTCGGTGAGTCGCGGGCGCGCTGCTCGAGAAACTGATACGAGTATTAAGTAAACAACTATGAGGATTTGAGTGCTTTCAATAAATATTGGAGCGCACCTCGAGCTCCTGTTGCCCCAACATCGTCGGGCGTCCCTTCGGCGCGGCGGCGCGCACCTCTGTGGTGCGCCCCTTCTTCCTCCATTTGTCGAGCGTGCGCCGGACGGTGTTCTCGCTGACACCAGCCTGCAGCGCGATGTCAGACACGCGCAACTTCGGGTCCAGCGACAGACGCGCAACATTCTCCTTCACCGAGGGCGAGACGTGTCGGCGGTTGCCCATCGCATGTCAGACTGCTAGTCGTTGTCGTTGGCGTTGTCGACGCCGTAAAAGAAAGTCGGCTATCGCACGACTTTGTCCCCGTCAAAAATGAGCCCGATAAAGAAGCAAATTCAAAAGGTAACGCACATATGGTGTAGATGGTTTATCACGCTCGCTTAGCACCTGAATTATATAATGACTTACTAAGCCGTCGATGAAGTGCATACCACTGACTTCGTTTTTGCAGTTGTAAATTTCACAATCAATAGAATATGCCAAAAACGAAACTCAAATATCCTGAACTTCTCTTCCTCGAGCTATCGGACAACTTGCATTCAAAACATTTGCGATGTGGTCTCTTACCCGAGCTTAACACAAACGAAAGGGAAAAGTTCTACCAACGTATACTAAACCCTCGAATCGACAACCTGGACTTCGAGGACTGAAGACTCGGTTCTCCAGCAATTCTAGTTGACTTGAGCTGTTTGCACAGTGAAAAGCAAGCTGGGACGAGGTCACCTGTTGTGCTTGCCGTCCCAAACCTCTTTTCGATTTGACATCGTCCCAGCAGCGCATTCAGCAGCAAAGTATCAGAGACCTTGATGATCTGTGAGCCCACGCGCTCGGCGCTTGGGCTGCGCGTGTATAGCGGGAGCTCCCTACGGAGTATCGACCAAGTCAATAAGCGGCAGAGAGACAGGAGCAGCTCATGAAGATTACCGATACGAAGAGTGCATAGTATATTACATGCACACAACGAACAGCAATATCGGCCACGCACAGCGACAGGTGCGTGAATTCGTCTTTCACTGCGGGCGAGACTTGTCGGCTTGTCAGACTGCTCGTCGGTATCGACGTCGCGAGAAAGACCAAGAGGCATCTATAGGTTTTAGCTCGTATTTATAAAGAACGAGTTCAGCACATAAAGTAACTTACGGCGCTTTTAGAAGACCTTATCAGTGTGCGCAAAAATAACTCCCCCCCTGTCGGAACAGGCAACAGGCCAACACGGCCAACACAGCCCAGAAGGGCAATCTAGCCTCTTTGGATACAGACATGCGTCGTGCCAGCTGAAGGACGATTCATGTCGTACAGCAACTGAGCTCGCAAAAGCTGTAAAAAGCAGCATTATCATGCTAGTGCCTCCGATAAAATCCAAAATCCAAACGGCGTCCGGCTGTCAAATCCTCGTTGAGCTTCGAATTGGAAATGAAAGGACTTTGCGTCCACGACGACGTTCGCCCTGCGTATCGTCGAGAATCGAACCAAAGGCGTTACGTGCAATTACTTGCGCCTAATCAAAATACGAGATCCCCACTTCGGTCGGCGACGAACGCTTTTCCATCCACAGAATAGCACCGCTGTACGGATCCATTCCACAACAATCGATTCCGCGAGGCAACACCTTACGACACAACCTGTCGTTTGGCCCATCTCGAAATATCCGATGTATGTCAGACCCGTAAAGTCCTTGCAACCCCGGAACAGCAAGTCGCCCGGCCGGGGATGAAACAATTCCATGCCGAGGTATGTCGCCATCAAGTTGAAGTGATGCTCTGTGTCCAATCCCGAATATCCGTATCTGAGGTGTGAAGGAGTAGGTCATAACCATCATGCTAGAACCCTGATCGCCACAGAAAGACGCGAAGAGGCATATATAAATATGGCCCTCCTGCCTCCAGAATGCGTTAAATGCTTGTATGTCGAATGCGTACAGGTCGCGGCTGTCAAGTCGGAGGTCTTCTGCTGTTACAGCTGGTGAAGCATGCATGTGGATGGGCGGCGGTGGTCTCTCCTGTCCAGATGCGGCTTCAAGTGCCCGATGGACATCCGTCACTCGCAGTATATTGCTCCTGGCTCCACTGTGGACGGTAAACAGTAACCCCCTGACTAGTTGGCTTGCTTTTATGGTATCGTCCTGACGTGTTTATAAATGAGAAACAGCGCTCGTCGCTAATGGCGGCGAAGCTCACGGAAACAAGATTCGCGCAACAAGACGATTTCCAGTTTAAAAAGCTAAGGTTTGTTTCATAGCCGACGAGGACAATGTGATCGCCCTGCAAGTATAAGTGAGGTGGCGTTCCGAGATGATCATTGCCCAGTCGGTGAACGTATATCGTCTCCTAGCGCCTTTGACGAAGGTCAATCTCAAAAACTTTGATTGCTATCCTAAAGAACGAAAATGTCAGGGTGCGCTTGTTTACGAAATGAAAGGGGAAAAAATCAGACAATTTCCTATATATTTCCTTATCAGTCTCAGCAGTAGCGACTCTCAGGATGTTTTCCGCGATACGGTCTACACCATATCCCCACAGCTTCCGAGACTTTGAGACAGAGCAATTGTCTGGGTCTGAATACAGCCAGATCTTCTTGCCATTCGATACTTCAAGTAACTGCAAATAACCGTCCAAGACTGATGGGCGTGTTGTCCATTCGACCACCAAATAGTCACCTCCCGGCACAAGAGATGCTTCGTTGACGACCAAGACAGGCTTTCTTACCGGATCATTAACGAGGACCTTGATTTCGCGCGTAACTTTCGGAGAAGGCGACTTCCAGTTCCTGTTCCCGCGCACGGCACGAACGACCAGCGTCTTAAGGCCGGAGCAGTTGAGCGACTCGAGCGAGACGTGCGGAGGAAGGTCGGGGGCACATTCGTTGGGAAGACCGCACAAGTAGGTCAGCCAGAGATGTCGAGTAGCAACTATGTCTTGAAGGAATTTGCACATCTGAAAAATGCCATTTAGTCCCGCTGCCGGACAGATGGCCATAATAACGTGCCGTCTCGACCTGCAGCACATCCTCCACATCGCAATGGGCGAGAATTTTCAGCAACACGTCCGCGGGGAGGTCGACGAGCCTCCTCATCTTGGAGGAGGAATTGCTGCAGAAAGAGGATTCGAGCAAGTTTTGTAGCAGAGAAGTCGGTTGTCTACAGCAACCTGTTGCAATGGATTTTTTTAATCGCGATTTGTGCTCAATAAAGAATCTGTTGAAAAAACAATATCTAAGGGCATATGGTGTAGTTGGTTTATCACGCTCGCTTAGCATTACATTTCAAACATTCATATGCGAGAGGTGTCCGGTTCAATTCCGGATATGTCCATTTTGTGGATAAACTGGATTATGACCATTCTTTTTTTCATCTTTACAACCAACATGAAGAACGGAATTTCTCGCAATTGGGGTAGTCTCTGTATTGAGCTTGGATTCCTCTAGCTATTATCCCCTGGGGTTTGCATTAATAGTAGTAATGACAACCAAATTGAAGTAATCGGACACAAACCTCTATTGAAGACCACACCTGTAGTCCCAGCTCAGCTCTGACCCTTCTAGCATTGTCCAGCAATGCGAAGAGTAGCACGACACGGTTTTTCAAGAGGGAGTAGATCTTGTTATATATAAAACACTGAGAAACGTCGATGATTTGCCAGAACCCAAAGCATTTAGCTTTTAAGACGCGTTGTTGTTCTATGTTTATGCGTTTGCCAGTGTCCAGTCACTTTAGTGTTAAAGAAAGGGTTTCCATAACAGACTTATGTCCATATAGTACGTTGGCAAACGGACGAGTCCCTCTCTGGCATGCCTCGTGATTCCTGGTAAGCAAGTATACCGTATCGATAGGAAATGCAAACGGGACGAGTGCGGAGTAAATATGGTTGAGAGTAAATATATAGGGCACGTGGAACCACAGCAGCTCTACAGTGGACATCGCGAAGTATTCTTATCTGCTTGCTGTCTCCGGTGTCATACGACGTTGACTGCAGAACTGAGTCGAGAAACCAGGGACGGGTTCAGATAGTTGTCATATTCTAACACATATTCAAAAAACAATTAAAATACAACTTCACATGTGATGATAAATGTCGTAATCAAATGGCTGCCCAAGATCAAGGGTTGGGCATAGTCATGATGGCCCCAGAGAGCGAGCTCGATGAACGATGCAGACTCAGGCTTCGATCTAAATATGTCGATTTCGTCAGACATCCATGCAAAGACAGAAGAAAATGCGATAGTCACCAGTCGTGTACCCTTGAGGTATGGACATTGCAGGGACACCTGGGTGGTGTGGATGAGAGTGCTGGTGCGGAGGCCCAGGATTCGGAATGAGTATTCCTGAAGGCTGTCTCAGCATTTCGTTCGCACGCGTGGATGGTTGATTCATAGGTAGCGTCGGATTGGGAGCGACATTCGTGGGCGATTGCCCATTTAATCGTGGCTCTAAGAAATAATCAAAAACCGACACAAAAAATATTAAGGGCACTTACGAGGTACTTGCGCGTGATCAAAGCCCAGCGCACCGTTCACTGCTGCCTCCTCCTCGTCCGCGCTTTCCTTCCCGCCATCTTCACCATCTTTCTTCTCCCCGAGCTCGATGATAAGGCGCCCGTCCATGAGGTGCACGAAGTGCATCCAACGCGCACGTGGGTCTCCGCGCGGGAGCGCGAGGAAGTGGTCCTTCACCTCCGGGCTCGCACGCTTCCAGTACAGCTTCGCGCGGCCCACGGTACTCTTCACGTAGCGGCACGGCGCAAAGACATGCTCGAACGCGGACCTCTGGCGGGCAGACGCGTCGGCTTTGAGGATGGTGCCCATCGCATCGAATCCCTCCGTGATCTCGTGCACGGAGAAATCCGTGGGCCAGCGCCGACCGGGCGGACTGCCATCAGTGTCGCCCTGCGGAGCGGTGCTCGAGCTCGCGCGGTTGGCCACTGGCTGCGCACCTGAGGGCGCGAAGCTCCATCTCCCGGCCGCAGGGTTGCCATTGGGAGACTCCCATGATTGCGTCATGGCCGGACTGGCGGAAACAGGTGTAGCTGGAGCGCGCTGGGGATATGATAATTAGTATTAGGTGGTCATCGCGCAGGAGTAGAAAATTAGAGCTGTGTTTCATAGCTTGCTTCAAGCTTGATCTGCTTTTTGTTCTAAGTTTGAACTTAAACAAAGAATGAAAGACTTCATGTAGCATTTTGGCTTTCCCTCCGTATCGAGTCGTCGAGACAGAGAGGGAAGTCGACGTGAATAAGTCAAAGGAAATAAATTCGAAATGACGCGACGCCTTGAAATGATGATTCCCCACCCCCTTTTCTGCGCATCGTTATTTCTGACATTCACAGCTCACACAAAACAAATTGTCAAAGCAAGCTCGTAACAAGAAATGAAACACAGCATCAATCTTCCTGAATAAGTCTCTCACCACTGGATGTGAGTTCGAAATCACTCGAGCCTGCTTGGCTGAAGGCGACGGGGTCAGGGGCTCCGACTGCCTCTTCAGATGGTATGCTATCGGGTGAGGCTGAAGCGATAGTTCTTGATCGAGAAACGGACAGTCCGTCAAACTATCGAGTAAACTGGGGCGCAAGCGGTACAGCAGCCGCTGTTCCTGCTCGACGCTGCGCACCGTGGAAATCTTGTGCTGCTCCCACTGGCCGGTCTCGATGTTGTACGTGTCGACGTATGACGCGGACTGCAAACCGAGCTCGCCGACAAGCTCGGGAAAATCCTGCAGCTGGAACAGGGGGAACGTCGTCACCTCATGCGCAAGCCGGAGTGGCTCACAGCCATTCTAATAGGCGGATTTTCTTGTCAGAGAAATTCGAATGAAAGACGGGGGACGCACTCGGTACCAGACGACCATAGTCAAGGAACGCTTGAGCGATTGCTCGAGCTTCGCACGCTTCTCAAAAAGCTCCTGCAGCTCCTGCGTGTCGCCGCCGCCCGTCCAGTTATTCGTCTCCGCCGGTTGCAGCAGCTGGTCCTTTGGCGAAGGACGGTGACCGGTGTGCACCCTACGTGCATGGACCTTGCAGACGGGCCGCTGCTCGCCCGCCTCGGCGGCTACCTTCGCCGCGTGCTGGCAGCAATGACCGCATAGCAACGCGCGGCAGCTTTGATGGCCACGGGACCGCTCGCCGGCGCGCGTTCGACAGTCGGGGTTCGCACAATGGATGCCTGCTGGGGAGTCACTTGGACTAGCTGCTGCTGTCGGCAGCCCCGTTAATGAATCCATCATCCTTCGCCATCGCGGACAGCGACGACGACGAGAGTGTAAGCTATAAAGCGCAATTAGAAGACCAGAGGAAACTCACAGGGTGATCGTGGACGTGGACCAAGACTATGAGACCGAGCTGAGAGACCGACCACGTCGCTGGCCCGGAAATCGACTCCGGAGGCATTTATTACATAATCATAGGAAGAAATTGTTTTATCAGAAATGCAGCACAAAGCAAAACCTGGGAACATGTAGTGAAATATGTATTCTTGAACTCATTGACTTTGAAAAACAAAATACTTTTATTGCTATGCAAGCTCTCGCACTCGCCCATGTGCACCTACGGTCCACCGCATAATTTTGTTCAAATGCGCTTATTCACGCCACGCCTCGTCATGCTCAATCGGATCGTGCACAAGCCTTCGACCCTCAAAGCCTCATTAAGTACAGAGGGATCATATCTCTTTAAAGGGCTCTCTACATTAGAAGGTTGCAGAGAATATCAAATTCTTATTTGTGTTTGTAACATTTTTTTTTTGTTACAAAATATGAGAGGTTCGACTCTAAACAATTTCCAGATCCTTCCTGTTCCAGAATTGTCGGGATTTGTTTTTCCTAAAAAGAAAGCATTTGAGATTGAATTTTGGCTAAATCGGAAGTCGGGACCCTTGATTGTGAAGGTCCAGACGTGTCAATAGCTTCAAAACTGAAGTTGCAAAAATTCAAGATGTTTGGACACCTTCTGAGAGCATGTATGCACTGCCTGATTTCGGAGGTCGGCACATCCATTCTAAAAGTGCATTATTTTTATACATCAGACAATTGATACAGTATATAAAATTATTTACCAGCTTGAACGAAAGGAAAATGTGAAGAATTGAGTGAGCAGCATATTTTCGAAGCTCTGAGGCCAAAAAAGTTGATATTTTGAATTCCGCCAACAATTATGAAAACGGCAATAACGAAGCTTGTGGTAGAAGCCACCATTGATAGGCAGCGAGAAACACACACATACGTATGGCGTTTGAGAAAAAAAAAGTCCCTATGCACGCCAAACACAGATTTGAGGAGACAAAGCCCATCCCATTCACGGAAAAGTATCGCAAGTACATGTACATGTATCGGCGTACATGCGTACATACATAGGATTCATACGAGTGCGCGTTCCATAGATATAACAAACAAGTGCAGAGCGAGGCGAAATCCAAATCCGATATCCAATCCTTGTGTAGACAGTACGTAAATGAGATGAAATGCGGACGATGGAACATCAGGGACCGTTATCCTACAGACGGAATGTAACGCGCCGTCGTGAAAAAAAATCCGAGGCGTGCCAGGATAGAAGAGAAAAAGGGAATTAACCAAGAAATGGACGGTGCTACAGTCTCGCTGCGCAGAGGAAGTCCCTCGCGCCGAGCATGCACAGCGTTTTTTACGGGTCATATCCTACAGATAGATAGATCGACAGCAGACAATGGAAAGGAAAAACGAAGCAAACCAAAGTCTCACGGAAGTGCCCCAAGCGCGCCCTCCCCCACGCCCCCCGCACCGAACGCCTGGTGCAGCAGGAAGTCCATCCCCTCGCGCTCCTCGCGCATGCGCCGCTCCTCCTCGCGCCAGCGCGCCTCCCGCAGGTCATACACCTCCCGCAACGCGCCCAGACTATGCAGCGCGGTGGTGAGCATTCTTCTCAGGTCCTTTTCACGCTCGCCGCCGCCCTCCGACTGCGCGGGCGAGCCCCCCGCGCCCGTGGAGGCGGACGAGGACGCGGCGGAGGACGCGTACAGCCGCTCAAGAAGCGAGGTGCGCCGCGAGCGCGCTGCGCGCCGTGAAGCGGCGATCTGCCCGAACGCGCCCCGCAGCGCGTGCATGGCGTGGCCATCCGCGAGCGATGCGTCGCGACGCACGGCGCGTGAGGCAAGCGCGTGCAGCGTGTTGCTGTGCGCGGGTGCAGCGACGAGTACGAGCGTCGCGTCTGTTTCTCTGTCGAGCGCCTGGAACTATATTTATATTTCCAAGTAAGTTTAAGTAGAGAGCGAGTAGAGGGGGAGAAAGGACGTACGGCGCGCACGAGCTCCTCCCAGCGCTTATCCCAGCGCTTCCGGCGGCGTTCC